GGTGAGTCAAGGAAGAAGAATGTGCCTGTGAAAGTCACTGTCCAGTTAGCACTCAATAGCAGATGTGGAAGTTCAGGGAAAAACAGGGCACAGAAGATACACCAGGAAAAGGGTGTTTAGGGCAGTGAAAAACACAAGAATCAAAACTGCAGAAGACTGTAGGGGGGAAACAGGTAAAAAAAATGTCAAAACTGTGGTTTTATGTCACACATCTAAGATACTTTTGGATAGCCAAAAAACTTAGGGTAAAGAGAATGAAGAGCAAAATGCAAATAGAGAGGGAGACCACAAGGCTGTTTGCCTCATTTTGATAAACGTTAGGACTGAGTTCAAGAGTCCATACAGTGTCTGAACATGTCAGCGAAGCTGCAATAGGTTAAGGGTTTAAGTTACTGTGGTTGTCACTCACCACCCCATGCCAGAAGCAATATAGATTTAGCAGTACCTCCTGTGCAGACTTTTCAACTGAGCAGTTCAGAGGATGCTTGGCACACTAGAGATTTAGAAAACAACTGAAAACTTTCTTTTCTTCCAATAAGTGTGTGAAACTCTTTGAATTTGCATTTGATGGCAGGATGTCTCGGGGACGAATCAATGAGGCTTTCAGGTTGGATGATAACACGCTGGAGTTTGTGGGCATACTTCCAACCCTGGCCGCACCTTATGAACCACCAGTCACCATCTGGTTAATTGTATTTGGGGTGGTCATTGGTCTGGTTGTCATTGGAGTTATTGCCTTGATCATCACTGGCCAAAGAGATCGCAAAAAGTGAGTAATATATTTTGATACTATGATTATGACGATTGGGAGATGTCCTAATAATTGAATCATCGGGATTCTTAGAAATTGGGCTGCCAAGTCTAACTGAAACAAGTTAAAGAATGAAAGCTTATTATCCCTCTCCCATCAACAGGGATAGCTAAAGGTTCAGCTCCTTGCCTTTCAGTGCACGACAGCCTTGGTAGCTCAGTGCAATTCCCCATCATGAGCAGTTTAACCAAGGCAGCTGAATGCTGTGGCCACAGGGAGAGCTGCAGGGTGGCCGGGCTTCTGCCAACCCTGCTGCAAGGTGTATGGGATGTCCTGCTGGGAACACAGTGCCTTCTCCAACAGCGGAGTTGTCCACATTCATCAGCACCTCCAGTTTTCTATAATCTTATTGGAGGCTGTCCAGTAATGTAATTTTCCTTAAATATTGTTGCATTAACAGGAATAAAGCTTGATTGGTTTTCTATGTCTCTGCATTAATGGGGTTTCCAAGAACACAGTAGGTTTGTTACAGTTCCTCTTTAAAGCCAACACAATTCCTTTTATATAAATATTTCCAGTTAAACACAGTATTATTGACATTGGGGGTTGATTCTGGGTATTTAGAAGGACTTCAACAGTACAGGGACTTCTACTATAAAATGAATTTTCCTTACAGGAGAGCAAGAGAAAGTAGAGTTGAAGCAGGATCCAACCCTGAAGCAGTGAACCCTTATGGTGAAGAGGGAAAAAGCAACCTGGGCTTTGAGGATTTGGAAGAGACACAAACATCATTTTGAAAGATGTGGGTACATTAAGGGTTTCTGTTTTTTTTTATTTCACTTTTAACAATAGTGCCTAGCAAAGGACCAAAACACTATGGGATGTCTTCAGACATAATGTCTTCTGGTTGACCATTAATCTACTGATTCATGGCCAGTAGCAACTAAATCTGCTGTTTATGTGGTAACTAGAAAACATGCAAAAATTGAAGATATATATGTCTTGTGGCTTTTCTATGAATTATGTACATAACATTACACACCCTTCATGCTGCTTTTCATAAGTGTGCCAACTTCTCTTTGTTTCCTCTGTAATGAGATATGAAAACTTGGAAGTATATAGCTGTATACAGATCAATACACACATAAAAATAACTCATATACTCCTGAGGAACATCTTGATCTTTCCAGATGGAGACCTCAAAAGTGGATCTAATGGACAGTGAGGAAAAAAAACCACCTGACCACCAGAAGAACATTACTGATGAAGAACTCAATTTGATATGAAATAACTGCAATTTTTGCACCTTCAAGAAATCTGTATCAATGCAAAATGGATACTGGATGAAGACTAACAAGTACTGGAACTTTATTAGGAAGTTGTAACATAAATTATTTTTCTAACTGTTTGCTTGATAGGTATTGTAGAGACCAAATAGCCCATGCTCCCTCAGGAAAAAAAAAGTTTAAATATCACTGCATTTTGTTGTCATTAAAAATGGAATAAAACTCCTTAATACTATATGATCAAAGTTGTTGGGGTTTTTTTCTGTATCTTAGTCATTGCCTGCACTGTTACAAATACTGCATTACAAATGCTGCATACAAGAAATACAACTGTGCTATTACATAAAAGGGGCAGTAGATTCAGGTTTGGGATGTTGTGATTGCACATGAAAAATAAAACCTGTTCACAAGGAGGACAGTGCAGCACTAGAACAGGTTGCCTCTTCTATACTCTAGGAGAGGCTGTGGGATCTCCACATTTAGAAGTGTTTAGAGATCAGGTAGAAAAATTTATGGCTGATGGAACAGTGAGGATAATCCCACTGCAAGGGAGAAATTTGGCTAGATGACCTCCAGAGGACCCTTTCACTCAGGTTTTTTATGATTCTAAGTCTAAGGTCCCATGCCCTAGCTGCCACCTTGCCTGTATATTTTTTCTGGACACACCAGGGTCACTGAAAGTCACAAGGATGTGATACTACATCCTGGATTGGGACAAAGAGCCAGTAGCGAATATAAACCTGCAGGGATTCCTAAAATCATGGGCCTCCAAAATGATCAGAATCTGCAGAAAACAGTCAAACATATATCTAAAAACATACAGCTGGAATCTACAGGATCACAAAACACTATCATAATGCTCCGCATTCATTTCCTGGTTGAGACAAGACCCTTAAATGAAGCAGTTCAAAATGGTAGGCAAATGATACTGATTAACTGCAAACTAGACAGGAATGCAAAGGAACAAAAATACTTTTTGTTTTAAGTTGCCTACCTATACCACATATTCTATTGCCTTAATAACCCCAAACCTTAGTGCTTTAGTTGAACTTTTGGGATCACTAATTCAAGTCTATGTGGTCTTCCTTCCTACTTACTGTGCAGTAACACAAAAAGGAGGGAATGGCAAATCCTGAAACAATCAAATAATACAATTAGTCATGCCAGCCATCTTCAGATCTGTTGTTAAGATTAACTTTTCCATTATGACAAAGCCTTCATTTCAATCCAACTAATTTTAAAAGTTGTGTTATGAATCAAAAAACACCATTCAGAATTGTCAACATACAAAGCCACTAAAAAAATACAGCGGGATGTTGGAAGAACATAAATAAAAAGACAACGTTTATATGAAAAAGGTCAGCTACATGCATCAGCCCCACCCATAGCTCACACCCTCTGTGCTAGGGGGTCCCTCTTGTCTCCTACTTTCTCTGTGCCTGCACTCCTTCCTGACCCTTTCTCTGGGTCAGCATTTCTTGATCCAGCCTGGTCCTCAGGCAGCATCATACCATGCCCTACCTCTCCCTCCTGCATAGGCTCCTGTGGCCCCCAGGCCTGCATAGATTCCCACAGTCACTTGCATGACCCCAAATGCTGCTTTGCCTCAAACACACACACAGCTCCCTACGTAGACATCCCCACGATGTGCTCTCTGAGCCATCTTCCAGTGCTGGGACCAGGCAGTGCCAGCAAGTACAGTTAGCCTCCAGCTGGCCAGAGACTTTCATTTCTTTTTCCCCTTTCTCCCTATGTCTGCCCCCTGCATTTCTTACTCCTTAGGTTCACGTGAGCTTGAACCAGAGCTGCAGAGGGGTCCCTGCTAGGGCTGGGACAGCTCCACCAGGGAAAGGGCAAACAGGCACCACTTGGACTCTTAGAGACACTGCATGCTGAACTAGTTCAAATATAAGGAGAGAAAAAAGGATTATTTTTTTCAGAGCTTACTTTATTTTAAACCTTCTTTATTTTATACATATTAGATCAGCATTTTACAACTCTCTGTGTCTAAATGCCTCTGTCATAATTATGTAGCTTCAGATGTATCTGGTATCTCTAGATTTGCTGAAGTTAGCACTAATTTTTGTAGCGCTATGCACATTTGAAAGTAGGGTGTTCTTATTTAAATGCTAACGTGAGGAGCCAAATTTCAGATCCTCAGTAGTAAAATATTTGGCTAAGCAATTATATTAATAGCATTTTCAGTTATCTTCAAATTTTTGCTCTTCAGGTTTTATAGCAATCAGCAAATTTGCCATTTACTATTGCAATGACTATTTTTCTCTTTTACCTGTAGCAGAAAGCAATAACATTCTAGTAGATGCCACACGTTGCTAAATTGCAAATATCTTTGATACATAGCTCAGAATGAATTCCAAATCAAATGTACACCCTGAGGGCCAAAACTAAAGTCAATAATACTGGTGAGAAAACAGATATAATATTTCACCAGTGGTAATTTCTAAGTAATTGAAAGTGAGACTATATCTATTTATGTTGCTGTCACTTGCAGCAGTTCTAAGTTTGACTTCATGTGTCAACTTCAAGTGATTATGAAGAAAAAACACATTCAGATGAGTTATGATAATCAGAAAACCTAACAAGCATGTATTTCCCTGTTTACATTACCAGTTAAGGCCAAAAAATGACAGTTTGGAAGCACTGAAGGAGTGCACATAATTGGTGTATATATATATTTCAGTGCCTGAGAAGTCTTTTGAAAAAATGCTAATGAAATGAATTATATTCTTCCACAGTATCCTTCCAAATTCTGTCACCCGCAAAGCGTCACGAAAGCTTTCTCCATATGCTTCTTGGTCAACTCCCTGATTAAATGAGAAGAACACTAATATACAGAATAATAGGCATGGCTAATGTCAGGCAGATTTCAGATGTAGCTCTCGTACAGAAGGCAGGTGATATGGAACCAGTATGCACAGTCATCTGTTTCTGAATCTTCTTTTTCAACCTCTGTTGCCTTCTCTCAATGCCTCAAAAAATGGTAAGAGCTGATAAAAGGCAGGGCACTTTTCTGGTAGTTAAATGAAGCGAAGATGATGGATATAGTTGTTTAATTTTAAAATAATTCAAGTACTGTAATTTGCATTGGTTTCTATTGATTTTAGCATGCAAAAATTTGTAGACAGTGATGTTGCTATGAATTTCTGCATGCTAAAATAAAATTAAAGTTACTTTTTATATATATCTTATATTGTGATAATTTAATCTGCTTTACTTGCACTAACATGCCCTCAAATATAAGTCACTTTTCTCATTTTCCTGACAATTATATTAAAAAACCCAATAAAACATCATGGTCATTTCATGGTATCATCAATAATGTGTAAAACAGTTCTTTTTTGCTGGTGAGAAACAAGTCATGGTCTACAGACAGGTGATTAAAATTTACATGAAGAGGAACAATAAATCAGGATCATTTTTGGCACAAAAGATGCAGATCTCTCAAAATAAAATGAGCATGATCAGCATTTGACTCACAGCTCCTAGACTCATGGGTGGGGTAACACATTCCTTCTCCGTCTAAGGGCAGAGTTATTTTACACCTTACGTATCTTAAAAGGTGAAGGTCTCTTCTACATCTGCTGTTTAAGAACTCTGTATAGGAAGGCAAATATCTTTTATTCTGTGGTGGCTAAGAGAGAAAGGACAAATGACCATGGAGATGTACCAGTAATGGTCCTGTAATCATGGAAGAAATTTGGACAGTTAGTTTAGCTCAGTCACAATTTTTAATCCATTAAAATTAGGTGAGAAGAATCTCATCCTGTTTATTTTGTTGATGTTGAAGGGTATTATGATTAAATACGTGCTTCTGAAATGAAGGAAGTCAATCTTCCTTTATGACCTGTTTCCTGTATTAACAATTTCCTGAGCTAGATACGATATAGAGTGTTCCACATAAAAGCAGTGGCTTTTATAAAGGATATTTTTCCCTGTGAAAATCAGTTCATCTGTCAGCAGGGACTCCTAGTGGCTCCTATTATTTTGTTTTCTCCAGTTTGTATGAGCAGATATACATACCTCATTCCAGCAGTTGTCCATTATCTAGTAGATGGTGTTTGAAACCTGTTGTGGTCTATAAAATCTGTATCCATGAGAAACTTTCTCAAACACTGGCATACTATATTAAAGCTCACTTAGGGCTGCTTTCCCAAAGTGAACACCTCCCACATTAAGACAAGAAATGAAACTCAAAAAATGCAAGATAAGTCCCTTTTCACAGAACAAGATACACATGTAAGATACAACTGATCAGACTCAGATTATTGTCCAAAGAAAAGTATCAAGGTAACTGAAAAGTGTGATTCTGTACCCAAATGTAAAACAACTCCCACTGCAGAGGAAGATGAAGTTAGGTTATAAAGTTAGCTATAAAATATATTTAATGCGGACAATGATGGACTGAATTTTTTACAGAATATGTGCAAACATCCTCTTATAAATGTCTGTGTGCATACAGAGAGGGAAGGAAAAACAAAATGACAACTATAGGTATCCATATTTTTATAAAATAATAAGAAAAAGTTTACTTTGTTTTCTGAGTGGGACATATACTCCTTTGGTATCAGAAAGATTTCCAAATTCTTTAAAGTGTCAGCTGCACATCCCTTTAAAAACTGGTTATACTGAAGCCATAGAAACACTGGATAATACCATAATCATCAATTCATAATTATAGCTTTTCAAGAAACAATTTTGGTTGTAACTGAACATATGTGATATTCGTGCCTACCCTAAAGTAAAAAGCAAATGGTGAAATATTTATTTCAAAATGATATATAATACTAGCTGCATTTTTTTTTCTTAGAAATTTTTGGGATCTGTAACTTCCCTCAAGCCTGAAGACTGGAGCATTGTAGTGTCACAGTGAGATCAGAATAAAATGGAACCTGAATCCCAGCTTTCCTTGATGAGAACATTAAAAACACCAAGATTCTTTCTTCTTTGACATCTGCTTTTGGGATATGAATACATCAGTTCATTTTTTAAAGACTGATTAATTAATAACAACCAAACAAGAACTGACAGATCCCACTCTCCCCTTGCTTCCACTGTATCAATGGATAGTGTTAAAATGAGAAAAAGATCTTCTACAGGAAAATAACATTTCTCATTGAAGTTAATGCCAATATTGAAGTTAATGACAGTAAAGCCTGGGGCCAGAATTTAATCGATAAGAGCAAAAAGAAAACTTATCACCAGAAAATCCAACTTCTGATATAATTGTATATATTATAAACAACTTGTAAAGGGCATGAAGGAACTCTTTCTCTGCCAGAGTCATTAATACTGGGAGACTAGCTGAGGTTAAAGATAAGAAGCAGCCCAGCATTTGGAAACACTTTTATCTGCTTTATTCACCATTGTTCAATGTCAAGAACAGTGGGTTGCCAATCTTTCATCAACTTGACAGCTGCCAAAATTTTCCTGCTGGAGGAGCAGACCCAGATAAGTGGAATTCAAGCCTGTTCACAAAAGGTTCCCTTTCCTTTGACACCTTTTACAGACTTTAAGAAACGCTGAACTGACCTCAGGGATTTGTAAATCATAGCTTGAAACCACTGAAGTAGAAGTTCAAATGTTCGAAATTCCTGGGTAGAAAGTGATCTGCAAACAGATATACTTTTTGCTGAGATACAGAGTCCCAGCTCACACAGACTGTCTCCCACAGATGGCTTATGCACAGAGTCCACTCTGACCTCTGGGGCAAACAGAAAAGCCCTTTTGACTTGGGCAGCACTGATTTATGGTCTAAGTACACCAAAGATTACACTTGATCTCCACTGCCAAAATTTACTTTACTATATTAAACACTTATGTAGCAAATGGCGAGTGGGCAGAGTTTCTATTTGCCTTAAAGAAAAATCTAAGGGCTAAAAAATTCCAAATAGCATAGGGCCTGTTTGCATAAAAATATTAAACAAGAACACAAGCTTTAACTGCTTTTTACAATCTTTCTTTGTGTTAAATGTCTAGCATTTCTGCTTAATAAGCTGATGAAATCAAAATGTAATGCCATATATACATACAAATTCATATGTCAAATTCCATACATACCAAAGGCCCATACATCTGACTTGTTGCTCAACTTGGTGTAATGAAAAACTTTGGAAGCTGACCACTTCACTGGAAACTTTGTTCCTAGAGAACTTATATTCAGATCATCCAGAACATATCTACAAGGCAAGAACCAAACTTAGTTGTGATTGAGTTACAGTGAAAAACTTTACTGCTTCTTTCTTGTACATCACAATGTTCCTAAGGAAAGCCTAAGCAGAATCTTAAATTTCTGAAGAATACCTCATAGAGGCAGAAGCTATAATCTAGAACAGATCATTGCTACCAACTTACTAGAGAAATAACTCAGAATCATAGAAACACCTGTTGTCAGGCCATCTAGCCTGGTCTCCCTGCTCAAATAGCATGAGAGCCAGTCAGCCATGACTCTGTGTTGCTAAGTCTTAAAAGCCTCCAAAGATTACCATCTTGTAGTCTCCCTGACCAGCACATTTCACTGTTCCATCACTTCCCTGGAAAAACAACTTCTCTTACTATCCAGCTTGAAGTTCCTGAGTTGCAGCCTATGGCCTATGTCTGCTGTTATATCACCTGGCACAGATAAGACTTATTTGGCTCCATTGGCTTTGTAACTGCAAGTAGTTACAGGCAGCTTTTAGATACCCTCTTATCTTCCTCTTCGCCAGGCTAAGCAGCTTGCTCCGCTCAGCCTCTTCTCAGAGGACATGCTCTGTAGGCTGCTCACCCTTGCCATTGAGGCAGCTATTAATCAGTTTATCTGATTAAGCTATTTGGTCCCCAAATTAGGTGAAAACCTCATACACAAAATAAACTTTGAGATTTCTTTACAAACATGACTAGTGAAACCTCTCAGCTGCGATTTGCCTTTAAGCCTTAACTTTTTGAGACAGCAGAGTGACCCTATTCTTCTAAAATGATGTACAGTCATTAATGGAAAGGAGACACAAAGAACTGTATCACACTCTTCGGCTTAACTTTCCTATCAGCCAGCTGATCAATGCCAGTAAACTAACATCAGAGCTTCATTAGGTTCCCAGTTCTTTCACTTACCAAGTCATCTTAAAGTCAGATACTTTCACAGTAAGTTTGCTGTCAACCAAACAGTTCCTAGCAGCCTTTATTGGAGAAATGAGAAGAGACGAATGGAAAGAACATAACAAATAACATCAGGTATTTGGTGTTTGCTAATAATGTCTGTCCTCTAGCATTTCAGTGAATAATGACATCTTTGATTGACACAATTTAGATTGAAACTGTAAGGGAACAGTAAGTGGCTCTCTTGTTTCACTTTTTGACTATTGATTGAAAAACATTCTGTACCATTATCCCAGCTTTACAAATAAGGACTTTGAGGGATGAGGAAACAGAGGTGAGAAATCCACATTCACCTAGAAAAACAGCAACAGAGCCAGGCACTAAACTCTGTCTTTCAAATGGCTTCCTGCTCTGGGCCCTTTTCAGTCGTCTCAGAATTTACCAAGGCATCAAAAAGTGGAAAACATTGATTGGATTACTTGCAATGCACTAAAAACAGAGTGGAGCAATGAAAGGGGACTGTAACAGATTGATTTATGAAAAGTTCAATAGAAGCCTAGTTGTGTAAACGATCACTTGAGAACATTTATCTAAGGCTGTATTCTCTGGATGCATGCTCATTAACTTCTGTGATACTGTTTGCATCTACAGTTTTCGATCTGAAATCAAGCTCCAGTTTTATATCTGTTTTCCCATGGTTTCCCATGTTTTCAGGAAACTGACTTTATATTTAAACTTGAATTCTGCTACTTAAGTTGCCTGATATTCCTGATTTCTGAATCGAGCTGTGAAAATTGGTAAGGCATGGATTTAACAACTGTGCTTACAAATAAAGACAATTCTTTGAAAGCCTCAACAAGACAGTTAAAATGCAACTAAACTTCCATTTCCCCATTGGAAAATGAAACAAATCTGTAACATAAATAGTCAAAAATATTCCAACAAATTTTTATCTAGAGTTAGAAGGCAAAATATTGCTACTGACTCTGAAGCACAATGCACCAGAAATTTGGTTAGGTTCACTGTTAATAGGCCAATAAAATAACATCTTATTTTCCCAAAGAATGGTAGCATTCTTGAAAGGTAAGTTTTGCATAAACTTTAGGTATAAGTCCATGAAAGGACTGATCCCCTAATCAAAAGCAACTTGAAATACTTGCTTACAAACTGGCAGATAAATGTATTTTAAAGAACTGGGCAGTTGCAGACTTTCAAGTTCTGTTCCTGCTTGCAATGCACCAAATTCCAGTTTATCCTAGTAGTGTTCACACTCGTTTTATTCTAGCAGAAATAGTTCCCAATTAGACAAATCCCTAACTCATTAGAAACAATGTAAAATGACCTAAATCTTTAACATTGCATTTCTTTCTCCTGGAGGACTACAGCATCATTGGACAGAACCCTTTGTTTCAGTGGGCAAATTTTCCAGTTGGATGTCTGTGCTGTGTACACGTTAATCCTTGAGCCTAGAGCCCATAAATGCAGGCGGCACAGTTTGCAGTGCTCTAGAACCTGTCAGCTCTGCCCTGAAGCAGAGCACATTAGAATATATAATAGCCTGAGTTGGAAGGGACCCACATGGATCACAGTGGGCAGTGCTGTTTTCATGTGACTTTAGTGCTGCTCCTCCAGAGCTGCCTTGTATTGAGCCAGCTTCGTGTCTCTGTTCAGCACACCGCAATGCATTTTGGGGTGAGTGCCAACAGAGCCAGTGCATCTGTGGCTGATACTGAGGTGTAGAACTGACTAATGTCAGGTCATACCCCTGCCTTCCTTGTTCCTCTTCTCCTGTGGGATAGATTACCAAATCTCCATGTATGAACTGACAGATCTCCAGAAATGCCATAGCATCACAAACATCTAACATACTTCCAAAAAAGCTAAAGGGTAGGAAGGGTTCCTTTCCATGACTCCTTAGGTGGCTGACCAAATAGTCATTAGGCATGTATTCAGTCACTAAATAGGCAGGATATAATTTTGAGCATACATTGTACAGTCTAAAGTGTTTGGGAGGATTAATTTTACTGAAATAAAGAAAAAATCCAATTAATAAATAGATATTATTGTACATTTCTCTAAGTTTTGTTCTTCAAATATCAATACAATGTATTGAAAGAAATTATTGAAACTGGATACGGTCCCAGCTCAGCCTTCAAATACTCCATTTCAAGAAGGACTGAGTGTCCTTCTTATTATTATTTTGAAACTTGGTATTGATGACAACCAAAAGATGACTCAGTATTGATGAAAAGACAGTGTTGTAGCCAAAACCTGAAATAGGATTTAGCAGCACAAAAGTGTGGCCTTACAAAATTTTCACATTCAGAATCCAGATCCTATCAACTAGTTAATTGTCAGGAATGTAGCGTCTTCCTTCAGGATACAAGATATCCAAAATATTCTTGAATTCATATGCTTCAATTACATTCTTGTGAGACTTCACTGGAAATTCTAACATCTTTAACTCTTTGGAGTCAGCGACTGAAACTTCAAGTCCCGTGTTTTTGTTTCTGGTGTTTCCCAGTTATTTGTCGATCTCTCATTCCTGCCTGTGGGATTGCAGGAACAGCTTTCTAACTGTTTATGTATAAATGCTAATGAAGCATAGTTTTAAGTGGCATATGTGAAAGCTCTGAAGTTATGGAAGAGATGTTAATTGAAAACTTTGTAGACGACCCTATCAATCTTTGAAAATTCCTTTGATAATACTTCAAATATCCTTTGTGACTCCTTTTAGCCTGTTTCTAATGTACTCACCATTACTTAATGCTATTTAAAAGAAGAACTCTTTCCTGTGTGTGTTATACATTACTGATTAATGTTTGGAGAGATCATTATTTCCAAATAATTAAGCAATGCCATAGCTTACATCATGGCCTGAGCTTCTATGAGTTCATCTTCTGCTCCCTCTTTAATCCTCCTTATAGCCTCTTCATATTTTTCCTTCCACTTTCCCTGAAGCACCACTCCAAACTGAGCAACCCTTAGCTCTCTCAACAGGACAATTTTTTCTCATTTCAACTCCCAAATTCCTAGTGGGAAAAAAAAATCATTTAGTGAAAAAACAACAGTGGACAAATGCAGGTGCAGTATCCCTCCCATGCGATGCTGTTTTCTCTGGAGAGTTGCAGCACTGGAGTAACATACCTGTTTCTCAGCTTTGTGTTTGAGTTATGGAAACTTCCTATGAGTGTTGTTTGCTACTGCTTAAATTTAAGCCTTACCTATATAGATTTGAACAAGATTTATGCATGAAATCACAATGCGTTTTCATACAGCATATTGGAGAACAAATATTACTGTGCCAGGTGATGTGGCAAAGGGAAAGAATGGCCATGGCTCAGATGGGCTGGGGAACGAAGCTTGCAAGGACTTGAACAGTTGATATAAGACGTGGCATAAAATGCCTTAAAAAGGGCACAACATAAAAGTTGCTACAAAATGCCTTTGTGTTTACTTTGCCCTGAATGTGGACAAAATGCGCTTGTAGGAAGGGATACACTATTTCATCGAACCATAAAATCTCAATGCTACACTGTACAAGAGAAAACTACAGAAGGAACTATTGACTGAAAGACCAATTTTACCAAATTCTCCCATTGCCTCTTGCATGGATGAGCAGAAATGGCCACCAAACAAAGATTCTGTAACCTCCTGACTGTAACCTGCAAGACTGAAAGCAGTGAGGGTCATTGTTCTCTGGTTATTCTTTTCTTGGCGGCCAAGACACCAGTTTCAAAAAGGAAAATTATCTTCATACGATTTCCTGATGAAGCTGTGGTTGGGACCTTATTTACTTTTGTAGTCACTGCATGCTGGAACCTTATCACATATTTATAAAGAAAAACTGTTAAAGGTCACAGTATATACATGGGTTTTCTGAAATAAAAGAAAATAAAGGGAAACAAATACCTCCCTCTCCCTACCATATTACAACCATCCAGGTAATGACAGATAGTCAATATTCAGTATTCAGCAGCTGCTGCATCGTGACACCAGATTGAAAATTTTCTGTGCTTAAGGTCTGTTTCAGCAGAGGTATTGCAAGACGGAATAGTTCAATACCAAAAAGCATTGTACAGCAAAGTTAAGCAACTACATTGATTGTGAATATGTTAGATTAAGTTACACCCAAACTCTCCCAAAAGATGGCTCAGCATTTGGAATGTTTGGTATTGGAAGAGATTCACCATAATGCTGAGAAGGCCAGATGCCTACGCCAAAACCAATCAAGTAGAAAGAGTATATAGGATAACCGGTGAAGTTGTGCTGATGGTAGTGTATAAGTTTGGGAATTGATTCAAAACAATAATTTTCAGCAAGGTAATACTTGTGCTCAGGGGTTTTATACACATGTAATATTTGACTGTTCCTTTTTTACTTATTAAAAACATCACAACATGCAGTATATGTCAAGACCTTGCAAAGTGCCTTCCAGTCCAAGTGTTAATAGATTAGTTGTCATGAGCTGCAACACTTCAACTGGCCAAATAACAAAATATGTAGTACATGTCTCCAGGAAGATTGTTACATTTGCCTCAGCCTCCTTTTCTCTCCTTAGCCCCTGCTGTCTATATAGTACAGTCTCAACCCATTGGAGACTTCTGTGATACACTTCAGTGTAGTCTGATGGTTAGGACTTGTCTCCCAACAGTTACATCTTAAGCAAAAAACTTTCATATTCTGTCCCTGCAATGGTTCTTACATCCAATTTGGAACATCTTCCCTTCCCCTACTCCTTCCCATTCCCACTCCTATTCCCATTTCCATTCTCTTCTCTCTCACACTTGAATCTCTGCTGTTCCCCTGGATTATGTGCCTGTTACACGGCATTGTTCAGATGAGAAAATTCTGGACCTCTGTTCCCCCATTTAGGGAGCCACTGTCATCTATGAATTCAAAGAACCAATATGACCTGAATGTGCCCAAGGTTCATTTTTTAACACAATGTAGAGATTGTTGTTGACCTGTCACAGCAAGCAGCATGTCCATAGCATACTCATAGAAATGTTACACTTTCTTGGGATATTCACCCAGGAACCTTGCTGAATACAGACGTAATACACATTCCTGCTTTGTAATACATTTGGCTAAACTTCAAACCATAAAAGCACCTTCTTTTCCCCAGTTAAATAAAAAAAAAAATTAAAAAAGAATGAATAAGCTACAAGAAACAACAAGGTTGGGATTAATTTCAGTGAACTTTAGCCTTTTACACTGTAATGTCCAGAAAGGAGACATGACTTATCTGAATTCCTTTAAGGACTTCATTAGAACAAGATGAATAATGCATGAGAAATCTTTCTTTCCAATAAAAAGAGGGTTTAGGTAACAGGTTGTGGTATCCCACTATAAATATTTAAAATTAGGTGAGGTTCTTCTCCAGTCCAGACATGAAGCCAGTCATCTGCAATTTTGTTTTAGTGCACAGATACAGATTTATAACTGGGGAGATTGAGAGGTGTTAACCTCATCTTGTTCCTCATCTCCCTTCCAGAGGCTCTATGTGTCATAAGACCCTAACACTGATGCACACATATCCTGTCTGAAAAAGAGTTCTACCCACCACACTCAGTTCCCTTACATGAAGAATTAGACTGATGTATTTTTTATTGCCAAAGTATTTCTGCATTACTGAGAAAATAAAAAGATTTTCATTACACTCTATTATAGTTGCACTATTTTTAGTCTTTATGTGGTACTCCAGTCCTAACTTTAACTCTCCAATTTTACTTCTGTTAATGGTTACCATACTGGGCTGGAAATTCTGACTTTGAGAGTTCATTAAACAGCTACACCTCTATATTGCAGGGAGTAAAAGAAGACATCTAGAGGTTCATTGCTGTGAAGTTTGAAGGAAATTTCACGTCCCCCAAGTTAACTGGAGTAAGTGTTATCCAGCACTTTTGGGGACTGAAACACAACTGCCTTTCTCCAGTGTTCAGCCATGCCTGAGTTTCATTCCTGAACCTATGGTGCAGGTCCAAGGGAAAGGACACTGAGTCAAGGCTCCCAAAGGATCATGTTCCATCAAAGTTGTTAGTGGCTGGGTACCAATAACACTGAGTGTGAGAAAGTAGCAAGTCACAAGAGGAAAAAGTTTACACAGCACATCCAAGAGGAAAAAATGGGTGAGGCTGTGTCTCCTCCAGGAAAGCATATGGACAAGTACTTCTGCAGTCATCTGCTTGTACCCCTGACTATGGTGCTATCCATCCTGGCTCCTAGTCAGCTGCATCCAGTCAAGACTCAGTGAGCATAACACTGCATTTGCTCAGGGTTGTGTTCCTGTCTGGGTGAGCTGTAAAACCTCTACACTCACCTGCAGAAAAAGCCACACTGGAGCAAACAACACAGGACTAATAAAAGGGAAAAACAGAGCTTTGAGGGGAAATGCACTCAGTGTGGCTTTGTTCCAAGCCTATTTTAGAGGTGAGTCGTTTGCTCATTTATGTAGAAGAGGCATTGTTTGAAATCTGTTTATGCATACCAAGTTAGCACAAGGATTTCTAGCACTTTATAACACTACAGCTATTTGAAGAGCATCAGCATCCTCTAGCTACACTGTATAGCAAAGACAACAGACACAGAAACATTGCCGTGGTTGTTCATATACAAACAATAAAGGATGTATAGGACCTTCAGACAGAGCAGCTGCTCAGACTGGGCACAGGAGATATCAGCATACCAACTATAAAGAGAAATATTGGGTTTGTTATTCACAGGCTGGTTCCTGAATAAGATTCAGCAGACATATGAAAAATACCAGCTTTGTAAAAACCGCTTTTTAAAGTCAGAGGATAGACTTGGGACTTGTTCTGTATATGTAATTACAGGTCATGAGACAACAGGGAAACCACTAGTTCCCATCTGCTTTTTCTCATCCAGTGGCTCTTGTTGCCCCAAAATAGCTGGGTCTACTCTGTAACAGTGACTTTTTACAGTAACTCCTTAAAGGAGGATTCCACTGCCCTAAAGTTCTGCCAGGAGCTCTATCAGAAGTAGTTTGCTCTGTCTCATGCAGACCATGACGTAGTTGTCTGCCCAAAAGCTGGGAGGTACATAATTCTCGTCTAAATTTGAACCTTCTGTTTTCATAATATTTAAGTAAACTGAGAGTTCCCCAATGAATGAAACAAGCCAAACATGCTCTGTCAGATCAGTTCAGGGAGTACCAATGAAGTCTGTTTCAATAGAGTTCCCTTTTATGAAGCATAACTTTAGCATACAAGAGAATGATTTGTATAAATGACTTTTTTTTCTCTGAAAGTAAATATATTTATACCTTCAGAAGTCTGTGGGAGGTGATATTGCTGATGAAAATACCTATATTTATTATAATTATTATGACAGCCATATGTAGGATACCATTGCTGCAGGTACAGTGGACATGTAGAATGGAAACACAATCTCTGCCCAAAGAATCTTTTGGTTCTCAAGAAGACCTGTTCTACACACTCACTTATGCTTGGCAATACTCTGCTCTTCTGCCAATGTCTGCTGACACTGGAGTTTTCCCTGCAAAGACAAAACAATATGATAAAACTGTGAAAATCCAGTGGCTTTCAATACTTAAGGGACTTATAAGACAGATGGAGACAGACTCTGTACAAGGCCTATTGTAACAGGACAAGGAGTGATGGTTTTAAACTGAAAGTTGGTAGATTTTGACTGGACACAAGGAAGATCTTTTTCATGGTGAGGTTGGTGAGACACTGGAACAGGTTGCGCAGAGAAGTTTTGGATCCCCCATCCCTGGAAGTATTCAAAGTCATGTTAGATGGGGCTTTGAGCAACCTGATCTAGTGAAAAATGTCCCTGCCGTGGGCAGGGACTAGATGATCTTTAAGGTCCCGTCCAACACAAACCATTATAAGATTTGATGATTCTATGAAAAATTCCTTCCTTGGGTTAAAAGTCATGCTACATGTATTTTTTGAGTAGTTATGCTGTGGTCTAAGATGAATATTTCAAAAATTTGAGACATATGTAATCGTCTGGATTTTTTTATCACTTGGTAAATACTTAAACAATCTTTCTCCTCCACTGTGCAATGTGTTAGAAAGTAAATATTCTCTGTGCAGGCTGTAACAGTCAATGAAACTATATATGCCTTTAGTGACCTTATGCAGAGATTGCATCTATATTTTCAAAATGTACATGGAAGCTTTCCAAAACTGCACAACCCTAGACTTTACAAATAAATGTTCTTAGCATGACAAACAACAGGAGTGCATATGGCAGAAAAAGAAACCTCTAAAATAACCTCTTGTACAGAAATAATGATGATTCTTATTTATGTTTCCTTTCACAGGATACTATAAAAGCAGAGATTTTTTAAGGAAATCTCTGAATCTTGTCCAGTATGGTTTATTATGAGACAATATGTTATATTTCTGTGAATTTTTCATTCAAATAGCTTGGCGTACATTTAATGCTTACAATGTCACGTCATCTTACTTAAAAAGGGAAATATAGATCTGATGTCTCACTTTGACAGACCTGGACTCCCTTTATCCTGTACCAGACTACTCACAGACATACAAAGGCCCAAGAGTGCTAGGAAGGGTGATTTAATGCTGAAATAAGAGTACAAAAATTGAAATACCAGCATCACTGGAGTCAGTGACAAAACCCTTGACTTGATTTAAATGAAACCAGTATGTTTTTCACATGAATGTATGAGACAAGAAGACAAATTGTATCTGATTTTATACATTTCAGGAAACCTTATGCTTAGTACTCAGAATGTTATTGAAAAAGAAAAATAATCCAGAAAAACTGCCTAATCTTTGCTAGGCTAGTGTGGAAAACATTTAAGCAGTGGATGTCTGCATATTGATTAACCTGGGCTTATCATCATTCAGAAACAGCTTTCTCAAGTAAGTGCTCAATACAAATCCTTTATTCCCACAAAATAAATAGTTCACAGTTTAGCTATTGTACATGACTGTATCTTAAATTTGGTCACTTAGGAAAAGGGATTAAACAGAAAGTCACTTTTCAGAATGCCACTAACAGAAATGCTCATGGTTAAAACATTCCTGCTTTTACTTACCACGCAGAAAAACACAGAAGCAATTTGTTTGAGAAAATTACATTTCAGTGGAGTACTCTTTCTGCTAGTCATTGAAATGGTTTCTTCCTCCGTGGTTGGTTTCATGGTATGGAAGGTTGGAGCAGCTGTTAAACAATATCATTACATTCCGTCTCAGTCGCTGTGATGAAGGATGCCAGAGACTAATGGATGCCAGCAAACTGTCCAAGATCGAACACAGAGTCAATAGGCAAGCTCAGCACTCTTCCTGACACAATGCCAGATGAAACTGAGAAGCTAAACTAAGTGAACACGGACAGCTGAGCTACCACTTACAGCAGCTGGCAGCATGGCATGATGGAGTAAGTTATGGGGGCCAACAGACATCTGTAGTTGTAAGGTGGTGGGCTGTATGTTGTGCTATCAGAGAAATAAATTGTATATTTGAGTATGGATGGACACAGAAAGGAGGAGTTTCTTTAACATAGATCTCAGTAGCAGAAGAAGAAAACTGAGAGTGCATTAAAACAGGCGAAACGTGACTCCAGATGTTTGTTCCTATTACAGTCAAGAAAGCAAGATCTTCTTTCTTTTTTCAAGCAGAATTTAAATTTTTTGTTAAGATGTATATGTAACTTGTCCTTACAGAATCAATACTGCAAAAGTCTCGGTTTCTCAACCCAAAGGGAAAAACCTGTAAATGTCCCTCCTTCTTCTGGATCTCTCTCTGCTTCTCCATTTGTGATAGAGCCCTCTGCTCAGGCTCTATATGAAGAGCTGCCTGTATTGTATGTTTTTACATAATCATAAGTAAGGGCATTCAGGTCCATATCTATCTATCTATCTATCTATTTTCTTCAGGTTGCTGGGGTTGTGTGCTGCTTTCTTCATCCAGAACAGTATGTGATCTCCTTAGTTATAAATTGCAAACACTTTACGTCAAGTTAAGGTTGCTTTATTTGTTGGTTTTCTTACATTTGTAACAGTAGATGAGTAGTTTCAGTCTGTTCCAAAGTAATTTGGGCATCCCTATCTCAAAAATTCTTCCCTTCCACATTTCTATCAAGTACATAAAATCAAACTCATCTAGTATCCATCATGAGACAGACAAGGAATCTTATCTCTTCCAGACAACTCCTGTTCATTGCACTGCCTTCGCCTCCAGTACCTCCTAAAGCCATTTCTCATTTAATGGGAAGAGGTGCTTTTTTTCTGCTCCAGTTGGATATTAATGAAAAATATCTTCAGTTTCTTAAGAAGATTTCTCCGCTTGTAAAACTCAGAAAGAATAATTAAACCCTATGCAGGATGGGAGTGTCCTGTCTTTGTGCAAAAGGATTACTAAAGCTGAGGAGAGACTGAAGTGATAAGGGATTCGCACTGCAGCATTTCACACTGGTCTCCCACGGTGTCACAGCTATTGCAACTGTGATGGTGGTGGTCTAAAGAAGGTTTGTGCATACACAAGAGACAACATTTGTTAGGAGAGATTTTATCTTTTTGTCACTTAAATTAATACTGGAAAAAAATGGATAGCTTCTGTGTACACAAACCCTTCTTCAGGCACATACAAAAATTAAGGCCACTGAATACTATCTTAGCTATTATACTAGGCAGTGACTGCTGTAAATTTTATTCAACCTGCCAGCCAAGGATGGTAATGAAAATGGAGTTGTACAGAGACAACGAGGCTTCTAGAGTAATGTTTAAAAGTTACCAAGGTAATTCCAACATAGATCCTGAAAGATGCCAGGAGCGCCTGCAGTCTTGTCTTCAAAGATGAGATATGTGGAAGACCATGGTCATGGAATAAAAGCATTCTGCAGGGCATACTTACCCTTCCCAATCCATTATTTTCCACCAGTCAGAATATTTTTCTTGTGGTACACAGTATTTATTGCTTCTGACAAGCTGGATAGCTGAATTACCTTCAGGTTTGTAGTTGCCTTGGGCCACAGCCACATTCAGGACTGACTTCTCTGGTGATAGTCTCTGGGGCAGGCTTCCACTCTTCCGTTTTTGAAGACAGAGGAAATAAATGATAAGGAGATGTAGCACAGGCTACAGTAAGAAATAACACATGGCATTTATATGATCAGTTATATCTTGAACATATATTAGGCAAATTAATCAAAGCTCAGAAGCTCAAGGCACAGATAGGCAGTTTTTCCTTATCCATTTAGAAGGACAGCCTAGACACTGCTGTCCACATTTGAGAGACAGGTGAGAACAGAACCAAGTTCTGTGCTAATGACACCAGCAGCAATTAACTCTGAGTGGAGGCTGACACTGCCGTAATAGGAAGCTCTTATTACCAGAATTACATGATAGATGTGACTTGTATCAAAATCCTGACACCTCTCTGAAGCTGATAGTACTTAATGAACAGTTGCAATTCCTGTGCTTTGGACACCACTTGACCAAGTTGTTTTTTACTGTATCTAATGTCCTGTTGTATCAAAAGATCCCATCACAGTATTTTAAAAATAACTTCGGGGTTCTTTTTAATGGTTTTTGATCGATAGTAATGTTACCATCAAGCACAACAAGCATTAGTCAACTGTTACTGCTAATCACTGAAAGCAAAATAAAAGTTATGCTAATTCTAAATTATTCCTTTTTCCTAACATTCTTTTTTGATGTTGGATATATGTAATCTCACTCCTTGGTGCCTCACTTTCCCTGTGGAGAGCTGAACATGTGTAGGTATGTAACCATGGGATTCATCTTACCAAGTTTTAACCCATGTCTTCATGTGAAATATGTCATCCTACAGGAGTGTCTACCTCTCATCATGGGTTGTTGAGGATGTCTGCAAAATTACTTGGATGAGAAGCCTGGCATTAAAATTAGGTGACAACAATCAGATCATGGACAGAAGAGTATCTAAAATTAAGGCACTGAAATGTGTTTAGAAATGAGCGGGATGTCATAACTGAGAAAATCTGGACATCACAATTCTTTAATTAAGAGCAGAGAAAGATACACTTGAAACACTGACAAGTAAGAATGAGGAAAAATAAGAATGACTTATTAGAAAAGGCTGCAAATGCCACCTATTTATTTACGTATTACTGAAAACCATTGTGATTCTATGTCAGTAAATAATGGCAAGTGCCCTGAAGCAGGCTATGATTCCTTTAAATCAAGTCCAAGTGACCATATCACTGTATGTTTACTTGTTTTCTATTTATTGGCATTCCTTAATTTAAACAAGAAGAAAACACAGAACCACCTTATTGAGTCCACTGAGCCAGAAGACATACATGATTTCTTCTGCACACACAAAACATGTCAATCTGAGCTCCATTCTTTAAAGAGGTATCAGTCACAGAAGAGTCCTCTTCATTTGATGAGAAGTAGTTTTGTTATACTTTTTGATGGTTTCTATTGGCTGTATCTGATTTTGGTGGAGAGAAGCTTATAGTTTGATGGCCTGAGTTAGGCAGGATTCAAGTTTTGGATTATCCATTTGCTTTGTGGAATAATGACAGAACTAGAGTTGCCTGCAGATTTCGGAAAGATGAGGAAAACATATAATGCAGAGATTAAACTCTTCTCTCTTTAAAGCATTTAGTGATGTTAGAGCAAACTGATATGCAGCAATCATGTTTATGAGCTGGTGTGTACCTCTGACGTTTGGTCTTGGTAATTTTGGAGATTAAATTGCTCCTTCATTTCGTGTAATTTTTTTATTTTTGGGGTGGTTTTTTTTTGGTTGTTGTTTTTGTTGTTGTTGTTGGGTTTTTTTGTGTGAAGTGATCAGAGTGTCATCCTCTGATGGAGCTGTCATCTTTTTGGATGAATACAAGAAACTGCAAAGCACTGGTCAAAATAAATGAATTATTATCACAGAAATTAATTTTGCTTTGTCCAACCTGCCAGGGAAAATAACCAGTCCAAGATGAGCACATCAGGTTTGTGTTTCACTGCTGGATGTATATTTGACTGCTGCAATATTCTAGACATACTTCATCTGTAATCTGGTGGAGATTATTATCCTGATTTGTGTCCATACATACAGCTTTCCATGCCCAACACTGGCTGAAAGCCCCAGAACACTTCCTAAGAGTAACTGAGTGGATCTTATTATTTCTATTATGCTCGTAGTGGTATTTTTGTGGGTTTTGTATTGATGATCGTGCCACTATCATCTAAAGAGAGCCATAGGGGATGGTCTGAGGTTCAGCTGTGATGTGCACATGAGGAACAGTTATTATCTGCAAAACTGTACCCCTATCCTATGGCTGGAAGCACGTGCTAAATCACTTCAGCTCCCATAAAGCTTGTCCAATACATACTAATGAGAGAATATGTGTGTGCACTCAGTGATCTTCCATCTGATCTACTGCAGTGTTGGTCTGACCTACATGAACCATTTTCCATTGCAAAGACAGTGGATGTCAGGCACCAGCAGAGGTGAAAGTATTTCTCAGGCAGAAAGTTCCTGCTTCCTGCTGTTATCAAAGCCAAGAGGAAGTGCCCTCTGCTTCCCATGAAGTGACCTTTTGTGCCCAATATTCCTTATAATGGCATCACGCTTCAGGAACCAGCTTCTCTGAGGGAGACTAGAGGTATAATGGTGAACTGATGAAAGAAATAGAGGTATCAAAGGTGCAGGACATGCCTCATGCAAAAGTAACACCTCGGGTCAGCTGGGAAGAAAGAAGGGAGAAAGCCTTGCAGAGGCTGGAGAGGTGAGTGACATGAATTGAGGTAGGCAGAAAGAAGGCTGGGGGCATGGTGATACCTCTGATGATCAAAATGAGTACATGAAAGGAAAAGTAAAATTGTGCTGAGAGCTTATAGAAGCAGTTCTGTGACTAAATATAGACTGTTCCTCACTGTGAGAAGTCAGTATTGGCCTTCTTAACCTGATTGTATCATGTGGCTTGGGAAAATGAAGTCAAGTTGTTCTACCCAGATGTGGTAATTATTATATCTTCATTTACTGAACCTCTTTTAGAAGTACCCATCGGAAAACTGTCATGCCTTGCTTTTTAAATTTCCCTTTCAAAATATCTTCTCTGAACTGAAGCAGATAATAAAAAGAAATCATAAAGGCTTAACAGAACCCAGAATGTTCAGCAGCAGATTTGCATGAGTGGTGATCTCTCCATATAGACAAAGCATGTCCTGATGGAACGCAGGCATAACAGACCATGATATTCAAAACAAGTTACGCTGCTGCATGTTCACAATGCTATTGCTTTCAAATCTCAACATCAGAAAAAAAAGTCGAAGTCTTCTTTGTTCCTAGCTTCTTTCCAAGGCTTTATTATTATTTTTTCTTAAAGCTCCATTGTATAGCTCTTCTGATTTGTATCTTCTGTTATCTTGTCAACCTATGTGTTTCTTAAAGCCCTGGCTGTTCATATTAACTGCATAAATAAAATTCTAGCTTTTCTTTCTTTTTTCTTTAAGTTACTTTCTGATTAACAGAGAGAAACTAGGAAATAGACCCAGATCTAAAGATACAGAACAGAAGACAAATTAAAATAAAGCAGGAAATATGGATTTAAAAATCTCATTATTTGAAACATGATTTGGTTTAATTTGTTAGAGGCTGTGTAACGATGTGTGCATACACAGTCAGACCATACTGCTAGTCCTTTTTTTTAAGAGATAAAAATATCATAAAAACTTACACCACTTTGGTGTCTTCTCTTGTCATTGTTGTTGTTACCTCCTTCCCACCTACAAATGTCAATAATTAAGTTGGGCAGTAAAACTAAGGTCAGATGTTGCATTTATCCAGGAGGAGATAGATAAGCAAATAAACATAGAAGCAGATCTTCCAGTTTACTTTTATTCTTAACCCTGACAACTCTTGACCTTCTTTATCAAGCAACTGCTGTGCTAGAGGACTCAGGTTGAATTGAGCACAAGTAGTACTTTTTGTCATCCTGATGTCCTGTTTGCCTCTCTAGGTCTGTGAAAGCTTGCCTTTCTCAGATGGACAGTAAGGCCCAGTGGGTGCTGGTGGGGCACCACACTCTTGGTTTTCTGTCTGATATAAAGATATAAGCAAGAGCACATAAAGAGCTCAGAAACACTTTCCAGTTCATTACCTTAGAGGCTGCCTCTGGGAAGCTGGGCTAAACAGACATTCTTAAATAGATATCTGTACTCTTGACCCAACCCCAGAGCAGCACAGTTTGGGACTTGCCTGAGAAAAATGCAGTTCATCACCATTTCTCACCCTGGCAGAGGAGATGTATCTGTTCACAGTCAGTTAACAGGTTTTCTCACGCACTCTTTTCACTGAGGAGGGTGGTGGAGGGAAGATCTAGGATCTCTTGGAACGGGGACCTCCTACACACTAGATAGCTAATTTTATTGGTATTCCCTGATCCCACTGGACATAAGTCTTTTACTTTATAGATGCTTCTACAATGGCTGACATAAACAGAGTTTGAAGGACTGGAGGCAGTGGTTTCACAGACCCAGTTGTACAACACAGAATCCCATTTAGAAGAGAGGAAGAATTAAAGGAAAAAAGCAGGAATTTAAGTAATGCTTTACCTCTTGAGGCTGTCTCGCTTGCAGATTTATACAGTGGCAGCAACAGCACCATGACAGCTGACATTTCACCTCCCCGAGGTATCAACATACTTTAACTCTGTATTTTCCAATCTTATTTTAATTTAAGCACCATCTCAAAATCCTTACAAACCCCATCAATATTGTTTTCATTTATGCAAAAATAATCCATGGAAATTTGCAGTTGCATTTAGCTCTGTGATTTTCCCAGTTTATTTAGAATCATGGAACATTTTAGGGTGGAAAAGACCTCTGAGATCATCAAATCCAACTGCTAACCCAGCACTGCCAAGTACACCATTAAACCATGTTCCTGAGCACCACATCTACATGCCTTTTAAATACCTCCAGGGATGGTGACTCCATCACTTCCCTGGGTATCCTGTTCCACAGCTTGACAAACGTTTCCATGGAGAAATTTTTCCTAACATCCATCTCTATACCTCTCCTTGTGCAACTCGAGGTAATTTCCTCTCACTGTGTCACTTGTTACCTGGGAGAAGAGACTCACCCCCACCTGCCTACAAGCTCCTTTCAGGTAGTTGTAGAGAATAATGAGGTCTTCCCTGAGCCTCCTTTTCTCCAGGCTAAACAACCCCAGCTCCCTCAGCTGGTCCTCATAAGACTTGTGCTCCAGACCCTTCACCAGCTCCATTGCCCTTCTCTGGACATGCTCCAGCACCTCAATGTCCTTCCTGCATCGAGAGGCCTGGAACTGGACACAGGACTCGAGCTGCAGCCTCACCCATGCCCAGTACAGGGGGACAATCACTTCCTTGGTCATGCTGGCCACACTATTGCTGATACAGGCTGGGATGCCACTGCCCTTCTTGGCCACCTGGGCACACTGCTGGCTCATGTTCAGCCAGCTTCTACTTCGTTGAAGTTTTTCTCATTGGCACTTTTAGTCTATGAATCAAGAAGTTATTAAGAAATACTTCTTTCAGTTACCCAGTGGTCACAAGTTCAAGGCTGTTTGGATCCATCCCTACAGAGACAGTCTCCCTGTGCTCTACGCATCTCTGTTAGCAACATCAGGAACTTATTTAGGAACAAATTTAGAGTAGATGCAGCACATTATCATGCATGTTGTTATCTGACATAAACAAAGAGTTCAATATACAAAAATTCTCTTTTTAGGTCTTTTCCCGACTAAGCCATCCACGACTGGTAATGAGGTATTTTCTTTGTCCTTGCAACTGTCTGGGGGTTTCATGGTTGTTTTGCTGCTGTGACAAGTGGTTTTGAAGCTACATGAAGGTGTTCAAATTAGTGTTACAAATCAGTTGATAATTCTGTACATTAATAAGTGTTCCATAATGATGAAACCTGTGGTAGTAGTAGATAAGCCTTTATGATTAATTTCAATTTTCAAAAGCAAATGCCTGATACAGGCAGTCTCACAATTCTAAATTAGGTTCCCAATTGCTCACCTCTACATTTTTGGATTAATTTTTAATTTTGGGTTCATACTTTTTAGTTTTTGACTGTAAATGACTAAGACCAAGCTTTAAAAAAATCAAGCCTTAAAAGGTTGAAGCCCAAACACTCATAAACTGCTGTTCCCTCTACCAAACACGGTCTTTCACTGTCAAGTATGTACACAGATATGAGAGAATTCCCTTCTGAAAAAGTTGCACCTAGGAGGGTACTGTTGTACAAATTTTCCTGTCTCAGTCTTTACAAATAAAAACTAAAATCCTGGAATAATTGCAACTAAATTCTACAGAAAATATTTCAGAAAAACATGTTATAATAAATTATGCAAAAGAAATAACATTGTTTAGAGAAAATATATTAATATAAGACTTAGCTTGTAAAACTGTATTGTTTTACACTCATCCATATATTCTCTTGTGCTGAATTTCTATTGTCGCTACCCACTCAGCTAATGGGACATAATCACTAGAATGGTCTTACAACAAAAGACTAGAATTTAGCTAGAGATATTAAGAATGAAGACAAAAATAATTCCATCTATTTTATTTTGTAGGTAAAAATGTCACTAAGTTTTTGATCAAATACAGCAGATATAATTTAGTGTATTCTTTCCCCCAGTTATACTGTAAGCTACATTGTATAGCAGCTATGATGTTAAAAGAAGCTTAGCACATACATGGAAAGGTGTGAGTATAAATATAAATAATATAAATATGTACTTTCTTAACCAAAGTGTCCTAAAGAAAAGCTGCAGAAACAAAGGATGGCATCAAATATTTCTGGATATTCCCATCATCTATATACAAAAGACCTTATATTCCACATGAAAACTCTTTCTTTCCACTACAGTTTTTCCACGTTCATCCTCCAGCTTCTGGCTTGTGTTACACCAAGCTTGTGTTACTCCTCACCAAGTCCAGGAGCCTGTCTCTGACAGCATCCACTAACAAATGCTGAGGCAAAGTATCTGCTCAGGGCAGCTGTACAGTATCAGAGAATCCTGATCCAAAGGTGATGCAGTTATACCTAATACCCTTTGAGAGGTATATTTCTTCTGTGAATTCATTCAGTTGCCTTTTTAAACAAATAATTAGTATCTATAACATCCTTCAGTAAGTAGTCCTACAGCTTAACTACCCAATATGAATAGTCAGCTTGCTTTGCTATCTTCCTATCTTCCTTTGATGCCTACCTAATAATTACTAACATCTGCTTTGCTTTTTAGATCTTGTTTAGTACTGGGCTGACTCTGTGTATGTGGCTGTGTTAGGTCAAGGTTTCATTTCCCTTGTGTACATTGCTTTTCAGTCATCTGCACTGAACTCCGAATTGCTTTTGTGTGTTAGCCCAAAGAGCTCTTGTTATTAAATGTTTACACTCACTGGTAAGTACACACATCTGATCAATTTGCTTCCTGTCTCCTTATTTAGTTAAATGATGGAGCCCTGTGAGCTTTTCTCTTTACATATTATCCACCCATCTATTAGTCATTGTCAAGTCTCTCCTTTGACCTCTGTTCAGCTTACAACATCTTTCTTCAATTATAGCACCAGAACTAGACACAATATTCTCCTGGTGATCACAGCAGTGTCAAAACATGTTGAGTGCTTTTACTCAATACGTGCCTCTTCCATGTCCAAGGATGCCATTAGCTACTTTGGCCACAGCTTCACAGTGGAAATTTGTGTTCAGCTATCATGATCCTAAAGGCTCTTTTAGAGATACTGTTTTCTGAGTCTCCCATCCTAAAACTATAGCATACACTTTTCCTCACTTAATTGAATTATGCGCTCCTGACATAAATATACTAATTTAACATAACTGTGTCATTCACTGACACAACATAGGGTGAGGGAGAAGGGAAAGGAAGATTGGAATGACACCTCAGATCAACCAGGCTGATAAATGTTACATACCTGTCATGACTTTCCCCTTGGGCAAGTCAGTTCTTGCAGGGTCATGAATTAATGCGTTATTTAGCAACGCTGTTACTCACTCTAGCAGCCTACTGCTTGCTGTGGCAAGGTTTGTCCATGGCACTCCAGGAGGGAAACTTTGGCCACTTCTCACATCTGCATGTCCCACTGCCCATAGAATCGGGATTGATGGAGGCTCTAAGAGGAATCTGAGCAGCACAACTGAAAGATATGAAAGGGAGCAAATTTAAAGTTACGCTTTTCTTATGGCATTTAATTCTTGAACAAGTATAGTGCTTTGTGCAGCTGCATATTCTGATATAAAGCACAGCCTTGGATTTCCTGACTGGGGCACATTTGAATGGTAATCAGGCAGTCATGGGGCACAGTCTGCTCTTGGTGTTGTGGCCTAAAAAGAGAAGTAGAATGAGACAGTGAGAATTAAAATAAGAATTTTACATGCTTAATTATGCTTTAAAATAAGCGATAATCATACATATATATTCCAGATAACATTAAACCAAGTATCTGGTAGATTTTTGAATGTAAAAGAAACAAGACTTGATCTAAATTCCATCACAGTCAATTAAAAATATTCCAGCAAAATCACAGCTTCAGTAATAGGGACTGGTTTGGTATTTGCTGTAAGTATCACAGAATCACAGAATCATTTGGGTTGGAAAAGACCTTTAAGATCATTGTGACCAACCTTAAAGTATCAGTATCAGTAGCCCTGAGCAACATTAGGTTAGGACAAAAACACAAAGTGTAACCTTAGGATGACTGACATATTTCTCAAGAAATGTAAATTAAACATATTTCATGGTTAACCTGAAAAGTCTTGCAGGAGGTGTTGTTGATTCCTCAAGATTCAGTGTCTCAACACATCGGATTTTCTCAATCTCAATTGATCCCCTCTTGCTTCCCTTTCTCTAAGAGAGAAAAACACAGCAGACTGTAAACTAATGTCAACACAATATAAAGTACTCTAGTTTGATGATTTTGTACAGTTTTGTATTTCAAACTGTATAAGGCATAGATTCAGGCTTGTTAAATTTTGAAAGAAAGGTAGTAAAAACCTCCTTGGTGCACTACTTGCATCTAGTATATGGAACAAATTCCTTTCTAAATGAGCTACAAAAATAACAGGACACAGCCCTACATCTGAGAAAGCATCTGCTGCAGCTGCAGGAGTACAGGGCAGAAGGGGGGACTAAGAGGAAAAGAGGGAGGAGTTAAGAGGAGAACACCTTAAGTGCAAAACAAAAGCCTGGCTGTGACATTCATAATTTTTTATGGTAATGGAGCTTATTCTTACTTAGCTTCCCTGCAGTTTTGTAATGGGATGTAACTGACAGGATGAGTCCTAAAGTATGAAAAGGAGCAAAAAAATTAAAGTTGCCTGAAACATATATTTGCATTCCCAACAGGAGATCTTTTGAAAAGCCACCCTTTTGTGATATACAGTCACTCCTTAGGAAACAAGGATAGTTTAACCATCTGCTTTGTGCAGCTGAGGGATGAGATTCTGAACTAATTATGCCTCATACAAGCAACTTCTGATGCCAATTATTTACATCAGTTCAGAACGAAGCCTCAACGAGGAAAACATCCCTATTCAAAACAGTGTGTAAACATATGTCAGTGTTAATTACTTGCCTAAATTCTCTTTGGAAGGACACAAACAGATGCTCAATAGCAAGCAGAACTGTGACGGTTGTTCTGAATATAAACACTCGTAAGCCTGTGGGTGTTTTCTTGAACTGAAACTAGAATTTTATATCCTATAATTCTACTGAAAACAAAGTACGCATATTGTTCTAATACATAATATCCAATCAAGTTTCACAGAAGAAAACTGGACAATCTTAAACAGTTTACTTAAAAAAATATTTCTTACCCTTTTGTCATATTCATAAGAAGTGTTTGTTTTTTACAGAACAAACAACCCTTTCTTGTAATTTAATGACCACATCACTTCACAGAATCACAGAATATTCTGTGTTGGAAGGCACCCACAAGGATCATCCAGTCCAACTCTTAAGTAAATGGCCCATACAGGGTTGGATCCCACAATCTTGACATTATTAGTACCACGTTCTAACAAACTCAGCTCATCTCAGGGTCTTGATCTGGGTTATTTTTTATTTCTGTTGTGACTTCTTTAAAAGCAGTTCTTCTTGGATTTTTTTTCTCCATTATACTTCCCTAAAATAACATCACAATTACTTTTATTACTGCTATTAATTAACATAACAACACCAACTAGAGAGACTGTAAGATTAATATATTGTCATTGTCCTCTATATGTTTTAAAAATGTTATAGTAATGCATGTACATAAAGGATGTGTTTAATACTGTTTAAACAAATGAGGTTGTTTAGCTTATTCACGTGGTAGAAACAATCATAGTATACAAAAATTAAGCTACAGATATACTGTAGTTCTAAACAAGGCATCTCTGTTACTTTATCGCCTGAGGATCTCTCCTTTTAAAGCCATGCACTCTTTCTGGCGAAGAGCACAGCCTGCTTTATCCACAAATGTATTACATCTGCAGCATGACACAGAAGTCATTACAGCAGCTAAGAGAATGACAACAAAAAAAGAAATCCCTTCTATTTACAGACCAGGAAAACATATCTAGTGCTGACTATGTGTTCCCTGCACTGAAATTTCTCATTTCTTTCTTTCAAATGAAACAAAGGCACATTTACAAAACTGCGATATGTAGAAAAGATTAAAAATTAAAAATGTTCTTGCTGGATGTATATATACACATATATTTACATCTAAGTATTTTTTCTTAACCTTGGTAATCATAGAGTAGAAAATGCCAAGAAGGATGAAATCCATCATATCTCTACAAGTCTAATATGGCTTCAGGTTATCTTTCTCAAGTGTGAAGGAAGTAGGTCATGTCCTTTGCTCTGTATTTCTGGGGCTCCAAAGGGAAGCACTGTGCTAAGTAACCCACTTTGTTATGTTCCTGTTCACTACTGAGAGTCCAGAAGAAAGGGAAAATTTGCATGAGGCTCATCACACTCACTTCAGCTATCCACTGAATCCTACCTGAATCCAGAAAGTAGATAGTATCTTGTAGAAACACCGTGAAGAAGAAAAAGGGGGAGAGGGGGAGGCTTTGCTCATACTCTGCATGGGTATCTGGCTATGCTGTCTTTGCAAATAAAATATTAGGTTTGATAGAAAATATAAAAATATAAAAAACTTGTCATTCCCACAGTGGAGCAGTAAGAACTCCTGTGTTTTTTAAGAGCGTATGTGGTTTTGTTTCCTTACACCATGAAATATCCAATCTTTAGCTCCAACCCACTTAAGTTCATGGGACTCATTGGAGTACTGGAGGCCAGGAAAAAGGATAAGTGAGATGGAATTTCAGCTACTTTATTTTAAAGCATTGTTTGCAGATCTTTTTTCTGGGGTTGCCACTGTGTGATCTTCACAAAATTTCTTAGCCTACTGCTGCTTGAATTAATCAGAGCAATTGCCTGAACTACCAGGACTGATAACATTGCTCGTGTAAGATTAGATGTCTCATCCACATCAGCTCTACCACTGTGACCACTGAGAGCTCAGAGAGGACCAGCTGAAGCCACGTGGAATGACTGCAATCTGCTCTTAGTGGGGTTTAGAAAAAAGGCCAAGTACTTACATTTCTACTCGTGGAAACACTCGTGGAAACAAAATGATCTCTGGACTTGACAAAGTTGTGCTAAGAAATGAGTAGAGACAAAAGGATTTATCACAGTATGTAATTTCATTTAAATATTAGAATGTTACGTTCTTTAAACTGTATATTGCAACACTTATTTATTAATAAACACTATTAAAAATGCAGGGATATAAATATACCAAATACAGGTTATGAAATAATTAGTAAGTGCCTACAAGTTTCATTAAATATATTTATAAAATAAAATTATAACAAGTTAAATATAAAAGTTAAAATTTTTTTTCTTGACATGGGAAAGACACATACTCTTTGTTCTAATGTGTCTGAAAACAATATTCTGTTAAATTTAGGTACTCAGTGTCTTTGGATATGTCCTTGCATAGTAAATGACATACTTGATCACCTTGTGATCTAATAGCATGCCTTCTGCCTCTGTGGACCTGTGGCAAGCACATGACCTAATTCTAAGATGCAATAGAAGGTTAAAAGCACAGGTTAAAAGAAACACCTAAAAGACTCAAAAAAGCCTATTAAAGTATTACATCCCTTGGTTCTCTGAAACAGAATACTGAGTATTCAGTCTTTGAGGGAGCAGCTGCTTATATTGCAGCATATATAAGCCACTTCATTACTGAAATGCTCTGGCTCAAGTTTAAAAAAATGTTATCCAGATTTCGACTTCTCATTACAATTCAAGAGAGAAAAAAATTCCAATCTCTAAAAAAAATCTTGACAGTGAAACTAAACTACTTCCTGGCCAAATCCACTGCACGATGCTCTTCTTCTTTCGCCTGTGGAAAAGAAATCACAATGTCTGAATTTATACCAAATGAAATGTTCAACTCTTTTTATTTCTTTTTTTTTCCACATTTTTAAATGAGGTTACATCTCCTGGAATAAAATATGTCTGTGTTGCACTGCTTTTTCCCTGCGCGGGCTGCCCTTCCTCTGTGCGCAGACTCACTTTGCTGACTCAGTACGTGCTTGCACTGACCATCCAGCTGTGCTGAGGGGATGGATGATCCTTCAGGGCAGAAACTGCATAGAGTGGCCTGTGCCGTGTACAAATTTCTGCCTACCTAGAGAATTGCAACCTCCCTTTTTACTGGATGTAGCTCAGTTCCTTCAACTGTGAAATCTAATTTCTCCCTGGAAGAAAATAAAATGCCGTGTGGAATTAGCTGTAAACATTTGTTCCATATGATTTGAAGAGACATGAAAGATCTAAGGATCTTTGATTATTTTTCCATGCTTGAAATTGTGCTTGTACCAAGGATTGTTGCATTTTCTTTGCTTTCTGTAACACAGAGGCAAATATAAAAGGTTTGTTACTCCAACCGATCTTAGAAACAGGACTTGGAAACCTTCTCACGTTTCAGAAAGAGGGCTGCCGTGAGGCAGTTCTATTGAGTCATAGAATCATGGAATATCCTGACTTGGAAGTGATACACAACAATCATCAAGTCCAACTCCTGGGAACAAGCAAAAGGGGCTAGGACATGCTGGAGGCTAGAGGTACTATCTCTAGCATTCTGTAGCTGCTGCTTCTGTTTTCTTCTGTAGTTTGGATGTGGTGAAAATTTGCATTTTCTAATAGCAGGCTGTAATGCAGGATACTCCATCTCCTTCCCTCCTGGTAACCTTTTTCTTCAGGAGACTGAGCAGATGGAAAACTAAGATGGAAAAGGAGAGCAGTTATGACAGGAGAAGCTTGGAGAAGAACCTGGCTAATTTATGGTGGCTGGGGAAATAGCCATGTTTAAAGCATGGTTCTTCACTCAGTTCAAAATGCTGGCAAGGTGAAGCTCCTGACTCTGAAAGACACAGAAACATGTCCTCCACCCAGATGAAGTAAACAAATTCGTTGGGAAGTGCTTGTCATTGTGGCTTGGCTCTATATCCTCAACAACATGAGCCAGCAGGGGTAGTCTGGGGAGGGTGTGCCCGTGGGTGTAGAGGGACCAAGGCAGGATGGTGAGGTGTGGTGGGCTGGGGCAGAGCAGGGATAGTGACAGCCCTGATGGAGAAGTCTGGACAGCAGGGAGCAGTGTAGGGTGGGGGAGATGGGAGAGAAGACGAGCTAGTTACAGGACCAGCTGTCTACAGCAGGCAGAGGCTGTGGGTGGGGGTAAAGGCAGGGCCTGGGGCATCTGGTGGGAAAGTAACACAGTCCTGGGTTAGGCAACTGGCTGGGCAGAAGTGAGGGTCGAAGTAGGCAGGAGAGGCACCAGGCAAAGGGCACTTGTCAGTCAGGACAAGCTGTTGCAGAACTAGAATACTCTCATTCTGCTATGTGGGCATCATTGAGGAAAAAGACTCCACAATCTCCCTCCACCCCTGCCCCTCAGGCAGGCCTACTGGTGTGAGGATGTCGCAGCAAGCTGTGTTGGCATTCCCTGTACTAAATGTGGCCAAAGATCACTTTATTTCATAGAAATACCTTCTATTTTTACTATGCCTTTTATCATTAATGCCTTTTACAGGCATAGTTCCATGCAAGTTCAGAGAGATGTTTTTTCTTCATTTCAGGTAAACTATTTCAGCTCAGTGAGCTGTTCCTTCAGAGCTCTGAAGCAACACAGAATTTGGAATAATACACATTTTCTGTCCAGTTTCAAATAAAGTAGATGTAGAGGGCAAGAGCTACTAATTGTATAACTTTCAAGTCGTGGATAGACATGCAAAACCAATCATCTCTAGTTACTTACAAATTCTATTAGCCTTCCCGGTGAGCCATAAAATTTAAGTTTGAATGTTTTGATAAACTGACCTTTTTCCAGTCCACCACACTCGAAATACAATTTAGTTAATTAAACAAGTTGCAAAGCACTATCTTGGTGTTTTTAATTTATGATTAAGGTGATTCTAACTCAGTGCATAAAAAGCTATCTGAAATGAGACAAGCAATCTATTTTAATATGGCAAAATGTAAACATAAAAAGTTCAAATGCATTTCCATCAAACCACAGTATTTAAATATCGATATTTATAATGCATCCTTTTGCTATTCATTTTAACAAGTCATATTTAGGCTAGGGGATGGAACAGTTTCCTGACCCTGCTGTAATGGAAACCAGCGAAAGAGACAACTGCAATACACATGGAAAATGTAATAATCTTAATCTTTTCTGTCTTCTAATTTTAGAACTTAATTTTAAATGGTGCTTTAAATTATCCTACATTTCAGCCCTTGCTTTTCAGTCAAAAGGGCATTGTGTATCTTTCCTCGCATTACAAGACGTGCAAAACTATACTTACTATTTTGTATGTTAAATGGCAGTCTAATTTCACTCCATACAGCAAATTTATGTTCCCCCACTTCCCCTGAAGCTCTCTTGTTCCATCAATCTTTTTTCTGTGCCATTAAAAAATTGCTGAGGGACAGAACTTTATGTATACAGGATAAAAAACCAAAATTACTTTTTGGGGGCATGTCACAATAATTAATTATTTATAAAGGGGATATTAGTGGAATCTAGCCTCAAATCCCTTAAAATGT